CTTTTTCTTACATAAAAAAACAGAAATAAATCCTTTCTCTCGAATACTACTACCCCTACCCTCGCCACTTTCCATTGAACTAGCTGTCTCCTTTTTTCGAGACAGCTAGTTCAACGACCCTCTCGTTCCCCCAACAGGCGTTTTTCAAGAGAAACTGTACGAGCATCCTTCCGTTTGCCATTTTTGGACGGGATTCGGGCACCTCTTCATTTTCTGCTGTGGAAGTGCCCGTATGCCACTCCAATTGTGAAAAATGAAAAACGAGAACAATTGTATTCCTGCCATTTATAAATGCATTTCTCATTTGAAATTGAATTAAAATGATTTTTTTTAGCTGTCGCACCGTTGAGCTTCCTCAACTAAACGGTGCATATGGGACATGGTCCCAGTGGTTTAAAAGATGTCCCGAAGGGCCACAGCCCTGTTTTTTTTTTTTTTTTCCCTTTTCTTTATAGAACCCCTAGGTTGTTGTAGAGGCAGGGTATCAGGCGCGGGAGTACTCTCCGAGGTTTCAGTCACTCTAAGCAGCTTTGTGCCCCAACCCTTGACTTAGCAGATCCCTAGCCGATCCCCCCTTGGACAGGCGTAAAAGGCCTACCGCCCTCCTATTAATGCACAGTACAACCCCCCCTAATCTACCCATCCTACCCATTACTCAGGAGACAGGCTCAGTACAGTCCTACCCGAGCTACACTTTATCGGCATCCTCTCTACTAGTCCCTCTGGCCCCTATACCCATCTCATAGCCTTACCCTTGCTTGGTCCCTGGTGGGCCCGAGGAGCCTGATGACGGGGCTATGAGAGTACCCCAATGTCTATACATTGCCTCGAGACGACCAGCCAGTCAGGTGGGTCCTAATCCATGAGACAGGCATTGACTCGCACCTGCTGGTCATCATGCAGACTCTAACTACTTGGACTACCCCAGGTAGTATTTCTACCTATGATGCGATTTCCCACCCACCCATGAGGTCTCCGCAGGCGGCCCATGAGGCGACTTGTATGTGAGTCAATTACTCCTCTCGAGAGGTGGACTACCCGTTAAGCAACCTGAACCATTCAGCCCTACCTACCACAAGGTTCCTGTACCCCTCCCCCCATATACACCCCAGAGAGGAGACAGCCTTTGTACCCCCGTGTTTCGAGACAAACACGGTAGGGGGAACACACCCCTAGACATACTACTCACTGTGTCACTCCCCTCCACTATGAAGGCCCTCTCTAACCAGGAAACTCCATGGTACCCAGACGTCTAGACAGAGTCCCCCTAGGGCGAGGCAGGGAGTAGCAGACCAGGGCTTCTCTGGGCCCGCGAGTAGTCTAGTACTAGTCTAGTACTTTACTATGTTCGAGCAGGGTTCGAATGGGGGTTCTTCAATGCTCATTCAATACCATGCACAATACTACTATGAGCAATCCCTTCAGTTCTAGCAGGGTTTGTCTATAGGTGCGACCAGATCTTCCACAGACAAGATAGCTCTGTATATTATCCCAAGCGATCGACTAAGTCCTGAATGCACAACACGCGTTCATACATATACCCTCTAGATCTCCCCCCCCCCACATGGAGTGACAACTAGAACAGACCTGAGATCATTGGAACAACAAGCAAACCAAACCCCCGAAAAGCCCTCCCCCAAGCCCATCCCAGCATACAACAACCATGGGCGAGGACCCCTTGGGCGGTGCGCAGGCAGTGTCTGTATGAACTTACCATGCATCGTCCCAAGGGGGGTATGCAAATGGCTGGGCGCTATGAAAGCGCCTAACGGCGGATGTGCACGAGGCCGCAGAGTTTTGAACCTGCAACCTCATACCACAATGCGCATTTCCAGCCGGTGCTCTAACCACTGAGCCACCAGGCCATTCGCGCCACAGCCCTGTTTTACAAACAATTTTTTTTTTTTTTTGAAGAAACATTCTTGCTTTTTCAAGGAAAAATGAGCAGGGGCGAACAACAGCAATTCAGATTGGAACACCACATTGAAACGAAAGCCAAATAGTTACATGTAGAAGACTGCAGTTAACGCACCAAGTAACACACCAATGGAGACCAAAACAACGAAACTCGATTGTCAATGTCAGCCCAATCAACGCCAGCGTCAACGCCACCATCAATGCCGCCATCTCAACGCCAAGGGCCCAAGTATCCAATGTCTTTTCGGTACTGGCGCTCAGCGCCCAGACTACGACCACACGACGCACGAACTAGCCTACAACTACAAAGCAGCAACCGGAAGACTTGAGTAGCAGAAGCAACGTATGTGCAGATCTCGCCATGTAGACCACCATCACGCCATCGGGTATGTCCCCTCTCGCTCTCTACGCCACCCTTGTCTTTCCCGACACGGTGTCCTTCTTCCCTAAGACCACCACCTTACCCCGCTGACCTTACCCCTGAGTCCGAGCCTGGCTATGGCGCTGCACCCAGCAGTGTCCAACACCTCCTGCGCCCGCGTGCGAGCTTCGCTATTAGCGGCACTGTGAGCGCTTGTTTCAGCAGCACTGCCGCTCAGCAATCGAGTGCCCCAATACCCTCCCCAGCAGTGGACACTTTCCTATACGGAAAGTGATCGCTGCCCACTAGCTGCCTGGCCTGAGGCCTGGTGTTTCCAGTAGCATCCGGTTGGCCCTAGGTATCTGAGCCCAGGCCACATTCAGACACCGGCCTGGGACAGGCCTGCATGTGTGCGACGTGGCCTCCGCTTTTCGGAGGCTTCTCATTGGCCGAGAGCAAGTGCGCGACATCGCACACCTGGCCTGCTGTGTGGCTCTCTTCAGGTCCTGATCACACTGGGCCTGTGCAACCAACTGGCGCCCTCTCTGCACCTGGTCACCTAAGTCAGGCAGAAAATAGGCTGCGCGAAATTAGCAGGCCTCCTTCACTTAGGGAGGCTGGCGGCTTGTTGGGCAGGGTCCCTCAGGTTGCCGCCGAGGGTTTTATCCCTCGCACTTTGTCCCAAGAGACAGCAAATTGATTTCACACCAACAAAACAACAATGCCAGGAGAAGAGCACGATGAGTAAACGAAAAAAGGAAAAAAGGAAAAAAGGAAAAAAGCAGACAGAGGATCTCAAAAGCAGAGAACAAACAGAGCAAACAACCTCACACATTGGGAACCTATTTAAAGGGGAGAGGAGGGGGGGGGAACACTGCCAAATCTCTGCACCAAAAAAAAAAAAAAA